GAAGAAAATTTCGAAATCACCACACTACATATGGATATCGTCACGGATGGAGGACTTGCCGAGGTAGAGTTCCCAACCAACTGGCAGAAAGATGCAGAGATCTCACTATAAATTCTCTGATTCTAGGTTTTGATGAGACCTTATTTGATTTCTTTAATGGCTGTGCAGATTTAAAAATAAGAAAGTTAGATTTGTTGGAAAGGCCAAACAGAGAGTAAAAGAATCTCTTTGAATTTTAAGCTATTTCAGGTTTTAGGGCAGAATTGTAGACAGCCCTAGTGACCATGATCCAGAGACACTGGAGGCCATCACAGAAAATGCTAAAGGCTTGGGTGGGATACAGGAGGGAGGATTGGGGTGGAACTGAAGGAAATCCTTACAGGTGACCACGTAAACCTTCTGATTCATCTCATCTGCTATCTTGATGTGGCTTATCTGCCGACGCGGTCTGGAAGAGTTTGATGGGTCGGTGGAAACGTGAAAGGCTTTTCACCAAAGCCAGCGACTCTCCTGGCCTCGCTATTCAGATACAGGGTGACATCACAAAGTTGGATGAGGTTGGAAGATTTCAAAAGAAGAGAAAATCTTGGCTTATTTCTGGTTAAAAACAGGAAGGACTTAGTGAAAGCGGCAGATAGCTCGGACCCCCTGAAGCCGGCTCAGGACTTTGTGACAGATGTAAGTAGAAATGCACGTCGGCTTCACCGCCAGAACAAGTGCATCTGGGCTTCACTGGTTTTGTCAAAAAAAGAAATTCAGAGTGAGGATCGTTCAGATGTGAGGGTAAAATCTTAAGCAAGTGTTCCGACATGTGACGAGACTTAACGTGTGTCTGGCACTTCGTCTAGGGAGCCTGTCGCCATGGCCCAAGTGTGTGGATGGCTCAAGTATCAAGGCCAGCACTGTCTCCTACGGGGACTGCAGCGGGCAGTCCCCCCGCTGTGTGTCAGTGGCCACGACATCAGGAAAGAGAGCATTTCTTGGGGAAAGGAGATCAGGGCTCTGCTGCAACAGCTGTGTGAACAGTGGGAAAAATAGTGTCTACCAGACGGAGCAAGAGGAACCTTCTCAGTCACATAAAGGAGACGGAAATCTGATGGGGGAGCCGCTGCTGGAAAGTGGTGGGGAAACTGGGGGTTTTATCCCGTTTCCCTCCTGTTGAAATTGAAGAGAGGACAGCAGCTTTGGAGTGGTTTACAGGATATCTTGACAAAATTATTTTGTGAAATTGTGCTTCAGGCACTAAAAGGAAGTCTACCTCCTCCTAGGTTCGCCTCACTGTGCCTTAGAATTCTTTTGGAAAAGTAAGGGTCCATTTGTCGCCAGACGGTGATAATCTCAACACCCAGTGATTGCCTCCAACAGAAAAATGTTAAAATCTGCTGAGGAGAAAGCTGGGCTGGCTGGTACAGCGATGGCCTCTGATAGGTTTCAGGTCTTATAAGAGATCCAAAATTAATGCTAACCAGTGCCTGGGAATACTCGGCAATTGGATTAAAACTCCTGTGTAAAAGTGCAAGTGGGGTGGTACCCACATAGCGATACGCATTTTACTGTGGAAGTGATATTTTTCTGTCATAAGATGTCCTAACCCTGTGCATGCTTGAGTCTGATATTTTATTTTATTTTATTTTTTCCATAAAAGTCTGATATTTTAATCAAATGTTTATTTTTTGCTTTGGTGGCACACACACAAAAAGTGGGGTGACTTACAAATCACCTGCAAGACTGAAAAAGATTAGGAGAATGGGTGGAAATGAGGAAGGCTGTGTGGCCAGGGCCACAGTCAACAGGACACTGGGCACTAGCTACCCATCTTGTACCATTGACGCCATCACCATCACGTCTGCTACGGCTGCTGCCTGGAAACAGAAGACCGTCTGCTGTAGTTGCTGTCATCACAATGAATTCTCCATCATCTCTGCCTTTTTTCCTTATTAGCTTTCAATTTACTGTCTGACTCAGGTGTGTCTGATTGACAGCCTAAGTCCAGTGCCCACTTCCTAGCTGCAAGGGAGGCTGGGAAAGTGAACATGCTGGTGACTTATCTACTGACCTCAGCTCCAAGCTCAACCTTCCGTATTCTTTTTCGTGATGCTGGGAGCGGAACTCAGCCCACTGGGTTTCTCCTTATCTTTTCCTAGTTGGCTTCAAGCTGGACTCAGAATGGAAACCACTGAGAGGATAGTGATAGGTGAAATAAGGGGACAGCGGGCTTTCATCTATCTGGTTTCTGGCTCCTACCCATTTCTATCCGCAGCAGAAACTGTTACACCTACAGTCTCTGGATCCTTCTGGCACTCTCCAAATCAGTTGGACTCAAATCCTCCCTCTACCCCCACCAAAGGTACTAGTACCAGCTAACTGCGCCTCCCCACCCAGTGGGCCAAGTACCATTCAGCCCTCAGAGGTCTGAACACCAGGTGCAGCACAGGAGAGGAAACAGGGTCCAGCCACATAGCTGCTGCCTCTGTGTCCTCACCAGAGGTGTCAGCCAGCTGCATCTGGGTCCCTTCTATCAACTCTTAGCTTCTCCCAATAACAATCTTGTATTCTTCTAAATCTAGGAGTGATGGGTGACTCAGCTTCTCTTTTTCCCTTTCACCCTCCCAGGACTCCTACAACCAGTTCTCAGTGTTGACTCCTTCCTGTTTGGAATGCTGGTGTGGGTTCCGTGTCCCTTACTGGAGCCCGACGGAGGCCTGGCCCTTTCAGCTCTGTACTGAAATACTCCCCTCTTCGGGAATCCTTCAACTGCAGGAATGAGATGCAGATGCTGAATATTAAAAAGCCAGATGACAAACAGCCCTGGTTTCCAGATTCTGGTGGCGGGAACTGGCAACACCTGGCCATGCTTCAGACCCGGATTTTAGTTCCCGTTTTGCCACCAATGTTCTGTGTGGTCATGGCCAAGTCTGTTCCCCATGAGAAATTGCCCTGGGGCTGGTGGAACTCTCCAGGCCTCTCAGCCCAGGATGCCTTGGACCTCCATCTGGGCTCCCCCTGGGCATTTCTGATTTTGGAGGCAGCTCTGAGGAGAGAGGGAGAAGAGGAAGCTGCGGGGCCTGGGTCTGCACTGTACTTTGGGAACACCTACAGGGTCCACCTGACATGACTCTGGGGTCTATAGGGAAAAGTGACACCCCAACACTCAGCACTGAGAACCGGGCCCTCTGGCTCCACTGAGGCGTCCCTTTCAACAGGTGCTCGGAGTTCACCCCGAGCAGAACAGGTGAGCAGATACCATCAGCCCCCAGACGCTCTGGCCATTTCCAAGGGCCTCCTTGGTTCACAGGCTCCTGGGACAGAGCAGTTTATTCTAGTCATTCATGTGTGTCAACTCCGATCGGGGACTGGAGGGTGCTCAGGTGCTTATCAGATTTGGCAGAATTCCTCTGCTGTCACAGGTTTTGAACTTCTGAGTCCCCTTTAACATCACCAGCCCACCGCCTGCCACACAGGTGGGAAATGTGTTCCTCCACCCCACCCCGTCTGGGCCCGCCTCTCGGGACAGCGATTTAGCAGATCTGAGGGCTCTACATCTTAACCCCTCCCTCTCCTAAGTGGCTCTCGTGTGATTTTTCCTAATGGCATTTTCAGAAATCGTTAATCATTGACTGTGGTAGCGCTTCTGCATCACACTGTGAAACCGTCCCCTTTACTGAAGCCGCAGAAAAGAAGTCCTTGAGCCCTTTTAGAGACAGATGGCCGCGAGATGGACGGAGCTCAAGCCTTGGGGTTCCTCACTTGAGCAATCCTCTTCTAAGATCCCGAGGGTGGCTACACATTGACATTGTCAAATGATTGGTGACATCATTCTGGCCGCCACCAGCCAGGCTGCCTTACCTCCCCCACTCTGATTCGTGCCACACTTCTCCTGGCCAGGTGGTGTTGGAATGGCTGCAGAGAACTCCCCTTGTTCCCTGTGTCAATTCCCCTTGAGGTCACGACACTATGTCCCGCGACTTTGAGGTGGCATCCTGGTATGAATGTACCTGGCCCTAGAAGGCTGTGAGTTGTGGAGGAGAAGCAAATTTTGATATGAATTGAGCCAGAAAAACAAGTCTCTGGAAAATTCTCCCAAATATCAGGTACAAAAAATTACAAATAGAAAAAAATACAAAAAACAGCTTTTATGGAAGGCTGTTGAGAAGTTCTTTAGTGGTAAGAGCATCCTTGCTAATTCGGTATTCTATCATGAATATTTTCTTTAATTTTTTTAAATATTTATTTTTTAATTGTAGTTGCACACAATAACTTTATTTTATTTATTTATTTTTATGTGGTGCTGAGGATGGAACCAGGGCCTCACACGTGCTAGGCGAATGTACTACAGCTGAGCCACAACCCCAGCCCATGAATATTTTCTTTTTTTGATGGGATTACACAAACAAGAATTTTTTAAAAATTCTTGTGTTTTTAGTACCCAAGCCTGTAAAGAGAACTACAAATATTAAGGGTGGCTTAGCCAAGCACAGGGTCTATGCATCCCAACTATCATCCAAATAAAAATATATCCATGTTTGATCAGTCATGTTGAATGAAAGACAGACTTATCTTTCCATGCTCTCTCTAGAAATTGGGTTTTGTTAAAGAAATTGATGCCAGGAAGGTAAAATATCAATAGATCATTGATTTCGATGGATTCTGTGCCATTTGTGGTATTTTTAAAATTCGCAGTTGCTTGTGAGTTCCTTTTCCCTGTGAATAATACCCTCTTTTCATTTCACTTATATTTGGCTTTTTAAGGACTCCTCGTTTATCAGTTTTAGATCATACAAAACCCAGATCTTCTCAGGCTCTCTGCTTAAGCATCTTAGGGCCATTTTACCAGGTAACAGTGTCACAGAGCTCTCAGTTTTTCAGATTTTCATTCTCTTCTCTCCTTTTGATGTTACTGGGAAAACCCCCAAAGCCTCTAGTTCTCTGAAAACTGCGTATAGGGAGAGATGAGTCTACGCGAAGACCTGCAGGTTGCAAGGGAATCCTTCAGACCAGGCTACGGGCTCTCAGACACTTTAATAGGGGAAACTGGAGGCTTCGTAGGAATAAATGGGGATCCTGAAGGTTGAAGAGATTTCACACTGAGGGAGGCCCAAAGGGTGAAGGCCACCGTGTTTGAAGAGAAGCCGAGGAGAGAAAAGGGAGTGAGCAAGTCCTGGGGGTCAGTGTTTGGGGCAGCCGACACCGGAGTGGCTGCAGGTGACAGTGGAAGCCAGTGTGAAGCCTGGGTCAGGCCCACGTGGCTTCAGCTCCTCCTCCTCCTGTGGACAAGCAAGGACCTCAGGCTGCCGTGGCCTTTAATCATCTATCGAAGGAAGAGAAGTTGTGAAGGGTTTGATGAGAAGTGGCCCTGCCATGACGGGGTCAGGAATGACGCCCAGTGCTCGGTGGCCTTCTGACTCGGTGGCCTTCTGACTCCGTCTGTCTGTCTCCGCCCCCTTTCCCACCTCATCAGGCGACTCCCTTTGCCTACAGGCTTCCTTCCTAACCTCTTTTTCTCAAATCTCCTTTTTACTTACCCTCCCACAAGACGTGCCCTTATCTCCTGATTGGCCCTGGTTCTGTCAGCCCCGGGCCTGCGGCCGCCTGGGAAAGGACCAGCACCCACATCTCTCAGGTGCTCGGTGGAGCGTGGGAGTCTGAGACGCCCCCCACCCCCACCCCCAGGACTTACAGCTTTTTTGGCAGACGACCATGCAGATAGCCTCACTTTGGAAGTTGTTGTTGTTCCCTTGGCAACCACCGTAGATGAACCTGGAGCAGAGCTGGGTCTCTTCATTATACCACCAGCGCGGGAGGTAGGCCATGCAGGGCCCCACCTCCTTGGGCATGCTGCAGATGTCTGCAGGGAGATCACCGAGCAGAGCAGTGGGGATGCTGGTCTCCTGGCAGGTCCACCTCCCCGCCTCCTCCGGCCACTGCTCTCTCTGTCCCTACTGTGAGGCATATTTATCTCGGACTTGGCTCCCAATTCAGTGTAAACCTTGGCCACTTGCTTTAACCTCTCTGGTTCTTGGCTTCCTGGATGTCCACAGAAATCAGTTTAAAAGGATACTGTGGGTAGAGGCCGAGAGATCAGTGGAGGGAGGGGAACAAGGTGGGGAAGGAGAGGGGAGGCACTGGGGTCTGAACTAGGACAGGACATGTTCCTTGCTCGTATAGTTATATCACATGGATTCTACCGTCATGGGTCACCAAAAAGAACCAATAAAACAGTGATAACAGAACATGAGAATATAAAACGCCACCCTGCTCATCTTACAGGGCTGTGGTAGGAGCAGATGTGACAAGGCCACACGGATCCTTCTGCTGTGCCTCCTCCACATCGGAGCAACGAAGAGCTCCGGGGTTTTGAGAGTAAATAGCGTCCCTTTCTCTCCCTTTCTACCATTTTATTAACTCGAGCACCAGTATCTTTTCCCAGGACTGTCCTGAAAGGCTGCTGACTGATCTGCACATTTCTCCCATCTACTCCACACTGGTTTCCAGAGAACTGATCCACAGGATGGGGGCAAAGTTCTGCCCAGAAGGACTCCAGAACCCATTTCCTGGGCTGGGATACAGCCGAGGGGCAGAGGGCCTGCCTTGCCGGCATCAGCCTTAGGTTTAATCCTCTGTACCCCACCCCCCAAAAAAGAAGTCTCTCTCAGACCCTCTTTCTGGCTTTATCTCATTGCTGCCCCTCACACTCACCCCTTCTAACTTCCTGCTCTAAGAACAGCATGGTCTTATCCACCTCTGCCTTTGCCCTGCCCAAATATCCGACCCTTCTCACCAACTAGACGCACTCCTAGTTATCCTTCCAAACCCTCCCAGGCATCAGATCTTTGTGACGCTCTTCCTCAATTCATTCTTTATTCCTTGCTTTTTATTTTATTGCTTCTAAATCTTGCATATTTATCACTTTTGTGACACACATTGATCACTTCAGTGTAATTGTTTATTCACATTTTCTGGCTCCTCTATGAAAATGTAAGGTTTTCTAGAGTGGGTACTGTGTCTTATGCCAGCTCGGTACAGCCCTTCTAGCAGATTTGGCACAGAGAGAATGTTTCAGGAGTATTCACAGTCTAAACAAATGTATCCTGAATATAAAGAAGCTTTTATTTTTTTGGGGGGGGTAATGGGAATTGAACTCAGGGGCACTTGGCCACTGAGCCACATCCCCAACCCAATTTTGTATTTTATTTAGAGACAGGGTCTCACTGAGTTGCTCAGTGCCTCGATAAATTGCTGAGCTGGGTTTGAACTCACAATCCTCCTGCAACTGGGAGCACAGGCATGTGCCGCCATGCCCAGCCTATAAAGAATAAGGATTAATAAGCAATTGTTTTGTCCATTGTGCTCTGAGGTACAAATACAGTCCTTTGGCACTTCCAGTCTAGACCACATCAAAACCATTTTAGCACTTATTAAAACATCAGTCATATTCTTAGCATTTAATCTATGTTAACATTTAATATTATGCAGCTATCCCTCTTACTGCTCTCACTATAAAGATAACAAAAGTGCAGCCAGGTAAATGATAAGGGATTCAGATGTAGACAATCCCCCCCTCCTAGGATCAAGACCAGACCCCTGTGCTCCTTGCTAGCCCAGCACCCTCTGTCTCATCTCTTATCCTCTCAGGCTTCCTTTGCTCTCTGACTTTTCAAGGCCTGAGCATGATGCTTCCTAACACAGGGCCTTTGCATGTGCTGTTACCTGTGCCCAGAAACTTCCCTCCAATTTTTGCCTGCATACCACCCATCTTTACATGAATCCATGAATCCCAGTCATAGAAAAATCTTTCCTGCCCACCCCGGCCACAACAAGCAAGTGCAGCCCATCATGGGTGACAGAGGTCCTCTCAAATCTTTGTTGAATGAATAAATGAATGCATAGTGTTTGATGGTCTTCTTTAGAGCCCAGTGATACGGGGCAGGAGGAAAGAGTGTAGGAGGTCAAAGATGGTCACGGAAACCTTCCTGGATTGATGTAGACAGAGAGGCCCGGGGACAAATGCCAGGAAATACCAGCCATCCACCTGTCTCTTATGGTGACCAAATAAACTGAGGCGACGTTGGCATCTGACCGGACCTTGGTGGCTACTTGGCATTTCAGAAGATCACCAACAGGAGCCCAGAGACCATGTGGTTCAATACCCATAAGTAACTTATGGAAAAGGAAACTGAGGTCCAGAAAGGGAGAACCACATTGCTCACATCACCTACGAAATAGGGGCAGGATGTGGTCCGGGTCTCCCGCGTCCGGCACTGATGGGACTTGTGTCAAGGAGAAGATGCATCAGGGCTTTTCAGGCTCCGGCCCTCAGGGACCCAGGAAGGGGGCTGGACAGTGCCAGTGAGGGAGGCGGGGAAGGAGGGCTGCATTCATTCAGGGGATCGTAGGTACCTTTTCTCATGTCTAGACACTTCTTTCCGCAGCTGAACATGCAACACTTCATATTATTTGGGCACTGCCTGTGCCTCGTGCATAGGTTTCTTTCTTCGATTTCACACTTTACTCTGACTTTGGGACACGACTCTGGAGAGGAGAAGATATGCTTCCTTGAGGCCTGGAAGTGGGTGTCTCTCCCCCTTCCCAGGCGCAGGGCACCTCTGCAGAGTTGGGGAAGCTTGATTCCCTTCTCCTGCCCCAGGAGGACAGTAACTCTCAGGGGGCTCAGGATTCTCGAAACACTAGCCACATCCCCGACCCCATGACTCATCACCTAATCCCTAAGCCCATTCCCAGCCCTTCTCCCACCACCTGTACAAGGTTCCTGGGAGGAGAACATGCTCCTCTAGGCACTTGGCTTTGTTGTACTTGGAGGTTCCCCTAGGGGGCGCTGTAGCTCCTGCTAATTGAGATCTGCACTTGAGCATCTGGTGGCTGGGCTTCACCATTCTGTACAGCCTTTCCTAAGGCAGGCACCCTGTCTGAACCTTCCTTTCCTCAATTGCCTAGAGGGTCATTCCAAAGACGGATGCAACAAAGTTTGAAAAGTCATCGTCCAGCTGCCTGGGACCATATAATAATGTATTGATGAGGTACTTACTATGCTCCTGAACTTTTCTCTTTAATCCTCATTCCAAATTCCTCGGTAAGTACTATTAATACTCACATCTAATAAGCAGGAATCTGAAGTATAGGGAGGCTATGTAAACTCATCCAGGGTCACACGACTATTAAGGAGTGCAGTCAGGACTGGAACCTGTAGCATGTGGCTCCTGAGAACTCACTGCCAACCGCTGCTTTTCCAGTGCTCAGTACATTTAGCTACGAATCCTGGAATCTTTGTATTTCAATATTGCAAGGGGCTTTGGGAGATGATTCTTTACCACAAAGGCAAGGATCCTTTGTGGGTGTGGGTGGGGGAGTGGGGAAACTTATTTGGGGCTTCAGTGGAGAAGTTTGGAAGTCAGTGCAGTGCTGCTAGGGAGTGTGGTGTCCTGGGGGAACGTCCCTCTGGCTATCTAGTTCCTCAAGTGCACTTTATGGGGGGTCCAGGCACCTACCTGGATAACCCCTCGGGATGCCGTGGGGGTGGGGTGGGGAGCTGCTACAGACGGGTTCCCCCTAGGAAGGGGACTGAGATAAGGACTCCAAATACCGCCCCTCTGTCCCGCCCAGGGTCCAGGCTGAAGTGGGGAGAGCATTCCTCCTCTGTGATGCTCTTCTTTGTCCTTTGTCCCCCTCAAATTCTCTCTGTACCTTAGAGGGACTGTGTCCCCAATACTTACTGAAAAATAACCCCTCAACCAGCCCAGGTTCCTGGACACCCCCCAGGAGGATGACCGGTACCAGGAATAGTAGAAGTCCCAAGAGTCCCATTTTAGGAAGTGCTGGCCGATGTCACCCAAGCTAGGTAGCTGCTCTCTGCACTGCCTCTGAGCGGTGGCCGCCCAGCACAGCCCAACACTCCAAGAAACAAGCCTGGAGGCCAGCCAGCCGTACTCCCTCCCCTAGGCCTCTCGGTCCTAGGCTCTCTCCACCAGGGGGAGGGGTCACTCCCGCTGGGCATTCCAGATGCCCCCAGCAGAAGGCGTGGACAGCTCCAGAACCTTCCTTTTCTCAGGGGCAATGTGGAGGCTCATCTTTCTGATTTTGCTCTTCTCCCGGTACCTCTATTGGTGCTTTATTTTTCTCACGGTTTCTCTTTTTCTTCTCTGTGTCTCTGTGTTTTTTTCCTTGCTCCTGTTCCCCCCCCCCCGCCCACTCCTTTTCAACGACTCTCTTTCACTGTCCGGTCACTTCTCTTCTTTCCCCCTCTCTGTTTTCTTGGGTCCATTTTCTTTTCTTTGCAGTCCTGGGGGAGTAAACCCAGGGTGCTTAACCACTGAGCTACATCCCCAGCCCTTGTCATTTTTTATTTTGAGGGAGGATCTTGCTTAATTGCCAATTTGGCCTAGAACTTGGGATCCTCCTGCCTCAGCCTCCCCACCCCCTCACACACCTGCCATCTCCCACGTTGCTGGGATTACTGGTGTCTGCAGCTGTGCCCGCTTACCCCTTTTCTCCAGCTGTTGCCAAGGAGCAAAGATATTGCTGTGAGTAAGTGTGGGGAGGAAAGAGGAATTCCAAGTTGAACTGAGTCCACAGAGAAAGTCTGTCCAGGTCACGCGATTTTGAAAGCAGAAAAGAAGACCAGAGCTCCCAGAGACTTTCTAATGTTTGATGCAAATTAGAGTAAGAGATTCAAGGAAACCCTGCAGTTGTACCTTCAGAAAACCAGCGCAGCAGCGGGGCCGCAGAATGTCCCACTGCGAGTTCCTGAACTGTCCCATTGATCTAAGTCTTGAAGCATCAGGAGAGAGCAGGAGCAGGCACTGCAGAGGGGAAGGCCTTGCTCCATCCACACGCCCTGGGCTGGCCTTCAGTCTCACCTGCAGCTTCCAGAGACAGTCGGTTCCAGAGAACATTTTGTCTTAATCTATTTTTTAAATCGAGGTAGAATTCACATCATGTAAAATCGACCATGTCGAGGGGAAGAATCCAGTGGCTTTTTTTTTTTTTTAGCACATTCACAAAGTTGTGTGACCATTCCCTCCATTAATCCCCATTTTTGTCACTTTAAGTTAAAACCCTGGACCTGTGAGCAGTCACTCCTTAGTTGTCCCCCCTCCCTGCCTATTCCAACCCCTGGCAGCTCTTCCTATGTCTATAGATTAACCTGTTCTGGATATTTTACACAAACTGTCATTCCGGGCTCATCCACGGTGTCGTGTGTATTGGTGTGGTGTTCCCGCTTGTGGCCAAATAACACCCGGGGCCACCCACTTCAAAGTGTCAGAGTTCCTGCTTCTCTCCTCAGGGTTTTCTCGGTTTCCTCAGGAGCTTCTTTGCTGCATGTGGAGCTCCCGGGTAGGGTGAGAGAATTGATGCCCCAGGAATCCAGTGGGAGTCCGTGGATCAGCACCTCGGCTTCCCCAGCACTAGCGACAGATGAAACTTTGGAGGAATGTTCTGTGTGGTTCACAGGATTCCTGGGAAGGCACCTGGCGGGACTGAGTTACTGTTTCCCTCAGTGGCAACCAACGCATGATCGACTCCTCTCCTTCCCACCTTGTGCTTGGGACATCTCCTAGATCAGATGTGTGCACCCTGCCCTTGTCCCAAGGTCAGTTTCTGGGGCATTCAAGTTAAGGCAATGTCCGAGGATAACAATATCCCTGGAGCCCTCGACTCTCAGGTTCTCATTGTCCTCACTTCTCAGATGCGGTCACTGGAAGCTTCAACCATCTCTTATTGTCTGCAAAGTGTAATGTACCAGACAGATGAATCACTCCACCTCAGAGGCACAGGATGAAACCAAGCACTTTATTGAAAAAAAAAAAAATTGGGAGCTGCACAGGGGCAAACAGGGATTTCTGGAAGTTAGAGATGATGGGGGTGAGGCAGAGATGGAATCCACGAGGAAGGTATCATGCATAAAAACAGGTGGCCACAGAGGAAGAGGGAGGAGGCAGATCCTGGGGTTCACAGTTGGGAAGCTCTAAGGCCTTGCAGCCCTGAGCTGAGGAGAACAGTGGGGGTCAACCTGGAGCATCTCAGGTGCACAGAGCCTGGAGCTGGAGCCAAATCCTGGCGGTTGTCCCCATGTATCTTTATCCATTCAGGAAACCAAGCCTGTTGAGGTAGAAAACGTAGCTGGCTTTGAACTTGAGGTTGCGTTTAGCACCTTTCTACAGGAGGAGATTCACACTGGGCTTGCACTGGGAGCTGTCAGTGTCTTTCAAGGAACAAGGAATGAGATTGGATTGAGGCAAAGACCTCTCTCTGATGAGAAAACCCATGGCAAGGTACGACGGGCTGGTCAGCGTGACCGGAGCCAGGTGGGTGCTCTGTGGCCTTTCTAGTTGGTTTCTGAGATTGCACCACCTCCTTCCTTCCTTCAGGCTGCCGGAATCCCCTGATGCTTGCTGGCATTGATTCACCTCCTGTGCCTCCCACCCTCAGTTCCTGGGAAGCCCTAACTCCCCTCTGCAAGGTGCAGTCCTCTCTCCTGGTTGGAGCGGGTTCTGTTGGCACTGGTCTGCCAAGGACACAGCTCCCTTGGGACGGATCAATCAACATCCAGACCTCCCAGTGTGGCTCCGGTGACAAGGGGAAACGGGGGGCCCCAGGACTCACGTTTTTTGTTGGCAGGCATTTTGGCAGATGCTCTTGGTCTGGAAGTTGTTGTTGTTTCCTTGGCAGCCGCCATACACGAAGCCATAGCAGGTGTTATTGTTCTTACTGTACCACCAGCGGCGGAACAGAGCCATGCAGGGCCCGCTTTCTTTTGGCAGAGTGCATATGTCTGCAGAGAGACCTCGGAGTTGAGAACTCAGCAGCTCAGCTTGGAACAAAACAGCTGCCGTGTTCTCCTTCGCAACCACCCCGGATGACCCTGGAACTGCTCCTTTTCCCTAACCCACTGTGGGAGCCGGCTCTGGGGACATATGACGTGCATTTGCCAAGAGATCCCAGAACAGGTGCCCGAGTCCCTGGAGACAGGATTGTTGCAGACGTAATCAGTTAAGAGGATGTCAGATTGGAGTAGGGTGGACCCTACTCCATATGATCGGCATCCTTATAAAAAGGGGTAGATCTGGACACAGGCACATGCACAGGAAGAAGACCACCGGAACATGAAGTAGAGATCAGAATAATGTGACCAAGGGACACCAAAGATGGCCAGAAAAATAGAGGCATGGGACAGAATTCTCCCCCACAATCCTGAGAAGGAATCGACCCTGCTGATACCTTGGCTTTGGCCTTCAAACCTGCAGAACTGTAAGGCAGTACTGTTGGCTAGGCCATCCACTCATGCTACCTAGTTTTAGCAACCCTAGCCAAGAATTCAGGTCCCCACCAAACTATGAATTCAATGAAGGCAAATCTTCACAGCTGAGCCATTAAGTCTTGTTTGTTTCTACCACCTAATAGCTCACTTCTCACCAGTACCTTGAACTTAAGCCCCAGAATCTCACCTCGGGGCTACTGAGCTATCCTCCAGTGGAGGCTATCCCTGCCTCCAGTCTTAGCCCCTCCAACCAATCCTTCATGCCAGGGAGAAGGAACTGATGGATCTGAAGTCCAAGCCAAAGTAAGACCTACCTTGACTTCATGACCAATTCTTCTCGTCACCCACAAGGCCCTTCATTCTCTGGCTCCCACTCCTGGCTCAGGCCTCTCCCCCTGCCTCAGGCCCCCTTGATCTACATGCTTCGGCCTCACTCAGCACACTAGGGTCCCTCCTGACTCCATTCTGGATCCCAGGTGCCTGAACCCGGCCAGCATCTCTTCACCCTGTTTCTGAATCTTGTGTGTACATCTATCATCTGTTTGTATCTTCAGGCTCATTCCTGAGACGTAAGTTTCTGGGCTGAACAGGGATTGAGTCTGATTGCATCTTGGAATTCCAATGACTAGCAGGTGGCTGGCACAGTTTAGAACTTTATGGAATGTTGGGGGTGGGACCAAATGCCTCCTGCCCTTAACTGAGTCAAGAAGTCCTTGGGCACTTTAGCCCTGTGTGCTAACACTTTAAGGGACAACGACAAGGCACAGTCCCTACGGCGTAGGGGTTCCCAGTCAAGAAAGACGAGTGAGTTAAGTCAGTAGGTGCTGGGTGGCTGCCATGTGCCTCCATGTTCCTGTGGCCTTCTTCCTGTGTGTGTGCCTATGTTCAGGATGTCAGTCATTGCTCTAAGCACTTCGGGAGCATCAATTTATTTGATCCTCAAAGTAATCTTTGATATTTGAAGAAATTGAGGCAGAAAAAAGGGAAATTTGTTGATTTGCTCCAGATAAAAAATCTGGTCCAACCTGGGGCTCAGAGAGTGACTCCAAAGCTCTCACCTGCAGGCGTCTGGGCAGCGCGTCATGCGTGCGTCTGGCCCATGTGCCTCCCAGTGTCTTTCCAGCACATCTCTACACCCAGCTTCTCCTAGTTCAAGTCACCCTGTTCTCTCTCCGAGTCCCTTTAGCACGCCCCCACTCCTCCGCTCTCCCTGTCACACTCTGCAGGCACCCCACGAACCTGGGATGTCACCGTCCTTACTCAGGGAGTGTCCATGGCTCTTAAGATCAGGATGAGACTATAATCCGGCCCCCAGACCTGAATTGCTGGGTCTTTTCACACCTAGGATCTTTTCTCTGTGAGCCTTGATCTTGTTCATTTCGTGCTTTTCTGAGTCTTTGTGTGTGCCATTCCCTGTGCCTGGAAACCCTCCCACCCTCTTTTTGTCTAAATCATTACCCTTCATTTGGATCTCAACTCCAGGTCTGCTGTCCAGAGAAGCCCCTCCTACCCTCCCTGTCCACCATGAGCAGGTCAGACCCTATTATGGGTGCTGTGCTTTGAACACGGTTTAAGTGTGTGCCCCCGGGGGCCATTTGTTGGTGTCTTGGTCCCCAAGATAGTGGTATCAGGAGGTGGTGATAATAAGAGGTGAGACCTAGTGGTACGTCCTTGGGTCAATTGAGGATGTGACCTTGAAAGGACTGTGGGAGCTCAGTCTCTATTTGGCCTCTGTTGGTAATGTGATCTCTCTCTCTCTCTCTCTCTCTCTCTCTCTCTCTCTCTCTCGCTGCCCCCCACCTGCCATGCGGTTCTTGTTAGAGCCTGTGCCATGATGTTTGGAATCAGCCTCCAAGACTGTGAGCTAAATAGACCTCTTTTATTTATAAAGTCAGCCTGTCTCAGGCATTTCATTAGAGGGATACTAAAATAGAATACCTCTTAGAGGCACTTGGTAATATATTAGCTAAATGAATGACTAAAGAATCCTTCATAGTCTTTTCTGGAGCCCCGGGGAGATGGAAAGGAAACCCCCTCTGGTCTGGAGAAGTCAGGGGAGGTTTCCTGGTACAAAGTTGGATTTATATAGGCCAAGAGGTAGTCGTTCAGAAGCGAAAACAGGGAAGAAAATTGCTTAATTCAGCCAGGGATGGTGACACACTCCTGTAATCCCAGCAACTGAGGAGGCCGAGGTGGGAGGATTGCAAGTTTGAGGTCAACCTATGCAATTTAGCAAGACCCTGTCTCAGAAAAGGAATGGGGGAGCTGGGAACGTATTTCAGTGGTGGAGTGCCCCTAGCTTCAATGCTCAATACTGGAGGTGAGGGAAGGGGGAGAAAGAAAATTCTTGTCACTTGCAACAACAAACAGCGTCGGTATATATTAGGACAACAAGGACCATCTGAGGACTCAGAAAATCATAAGGGTGAAAAGTAGCCAAGAAGCCGGCTGACCGAGTCTCACTGCTGTACCCATCATCTGTCTGGGGAAACTGACAGGATCAGGACATTATTCATGTCATACAACACGTTAGGAGCAGTAATAAGTCTAAGTCCCAGTCCTCCCACATCCAGCAGTCCTGCCTGGAGACCAGCCCTCATGAACCAGGGACAACCCAGCCCAGGGGGCAGCGGGCAGGGCGTGGGTGGAGCGTTCCCGGCTCTGAAGGTACCTTGTTGGAGGTCAAGGCACTTCCTCCCGCAGTTGAAGACGCAGCACTTCTGGTTGTGCGGGCACTGCCTGTCTTTGGTGCACAGGTCCCTCTCTCTGAATTCACATTGCTCTCTGATTCTGGGGCACTTTTCTGGGGGAGAAGCAGATTTACAAGTGTGAGCCTTGGAGGGCCACTGCCCACCCTCTTCCAACCCCGTTCTGGGCAGACAGGGAGCTTTGCTCTCATTCTGTCACTAGGAGTCTCTTCCTCAGGGTCCCCTGGGTATCTCCCAGCCCCACCGACACGTCCCTCTGTTGACTGCTCCTCATCTCTACCTTCCCACCCTGCTCCTTCGTCCCACTTCCTGCCCCAGTCCCTCTAAGGCAGAGTTTCTCAGCCACTGGTGACATGTGGGCTGGGGAATTCTTTGTTGGGAGTGGGGTCGTCCTGCTCAGGTGACATTTAGCAGTATCCCTGGCTTCAATTTATTAGATGCGGGTGGCACCCCTCCCTGTGGTGACAACCCAGTGTCTTCAGACATTGCAAATGCCCCGGGGTGGGGGGGTGTGGGGGGATTGCCACTGACGGGCACAGGTTTAAGCTGGTCTGGTCTTTTGTGCCTTGCTGTGAGCCTGGGTGTGCGAGTTCCTCTGGGGGCGACATTATACAATGATTGGTAGCCCTCTGGGGTCAGTGTGGGCTTTGAATTCTGACACTGTTCTGTCACTTTCCCTCCCTGAAGCTACTCTCTTCCTTTGGTTTTGGCCTGAGGGAGTTGTGAGGAAGAAGTGAGAAGACTGTAAAGCTCCAATCTGAGTAACGGAGGCACAGTTATGGTAAGTATTTGCCATAAGCCACCGGCTCATTTAAATATTTAAAACGTATCACCTCATTTAACCTCCATAGCAGCTCTATGAGGTCAGTTCCATGATTAGTCCCATTTTACAGATCAGGAAACTGAAGCACATGGAATCTATATAAAGGTTATATGGCTGTCAGGATTTAACCCCTCTGTATGTCTCCAGAATGCTTTTTTTTAAAAAATCTCTACTTAGAAATCTCTATTTTCTGATTGTTCAGAAAATGCTAGCAATTATTATTTTTACTTATATATTCCTGGAGTATTAGTATCTTACATTGAAAGGGGCTCCCAAATATTCTTCTTACTCCAAAATCAAAACCCTTTGGGGATGCAAAGACACGTCATAGGACTACATTGGAAAAAAAGGGGAGAAGATTGAGGTGATATCCTGAGAAAAGGATCTAATTTTCTTGTGGGGTGGGAGAAGGACCCTTAGTCTGCCCAGATTTCTATAGCCCCTCACATAATTGCCAGATCCATTAATGCCCCAAAGTGCCCAGGTCTGGGATCCTGCCCTCACAGAACAGATCTCTCTCCCTCCGCTCCCAGCCCAGGGCCACGGCCAAGATGCAGGAAGCAACCCAGATCTGAGGGACTGTGCCTGGTCCCCCCGCCCAGCCAGCTCCCCTCTGCCCAGGGCAAGACAGAGGCCCAGTACTTACTGGGAAAGAACCGGTCACTGAGGCCAGGTCCCTGGACAGTCACGAAGAGGATGAAGAGCACCAGGACTCTCAGAAGTCCACCAGGCGCCATTCTGAGGAGAGATGGTTCCAGAACATGGAAATGCCGGCTGTTTCGCCAGCCTGTCCCTTCAGGGCCTCTACCCTGGAGACGAGAGCTGGAGAAGAGCCAGCCACCCCCTTTCTTGTCAGGAACACCAAGTTCCCAAGGCCATCAAATGGGGCTGCCGGGCATGGAGAGCCCAGAGCTGGGGGAGGGTCTCCTGTGGTCCTGAAGCCCTGGCTGCGCTGGGCGCGGGGGCAGAGCTTGGCTCACACTTTCCAGGCGACCTTGGGGTGAAGGCCACTTCCCAGGTCTTATCTGGGAACCTCTGGGAGTGTGCATGGCCTCCTTGTGTTCCACACACACTGGCCACTGGCCCCTTCCCTCCCCGCGACAATGTCTCTTTTCATCTCTTGCTCTCTGTCTCTTGTGCCTCTCTGTTCCTAGCTTTTTCTCTTCTTTTCTGAAGGCCCCCAGGGCCTGGGTGTCCGGTGCTCCCTCCCGCGGTGTCTTCCCACCATCCTCCCTCTCCTCTTTGGGTCTTTCATGTTTGACGCCCCACTGCGGCGGGTGCTGGCAAGGCTCAGGTTGATAACAGTGCCCAGACGGTGCTGGTCACAGCGCGTTGCTTGGAGAGCAGGGCTTGTTGGGAGTCTCTGTCACATGGGATGCAAACTCTTGGTTGGAGGAGAAGCTACAAAAGGAACAGAACTCTGGTTCAGTGACTCTGGTCGGGGGTGCGGGAGACCTGGAGCTACACACCCACAGCCACTTAGCCAGGCTGCTGGCGGGCAGAGGCTCTCTTCAGAGAGTGAGTTACCTGTAGCTTCCCATTTTCTTTCCTCACTAGGAGTTGCCTTATTGTGCCGACCATCGTTCTCAAAACTCTCTTCTGTGACAGAGAGAAGTCAGAAAAAGCCAGCCTCATCATCAGTGAGTAACTATTATGGTCACAAAATCTAGGAGATGACAGCAGAGCTCCCGCGGGAACCCATCCCACCAACTCTGCAGGCTCACTCAAGGAGGCTAGGGAATGCAATTTCTTTTTTTAAATTTTTTAATATTTATTTTTTAGTTCTCGGCGGACACAACATCTTTGTTGGTATGTGGTGCTGAGGATCGAACCCGGGCCGCACGCACGCCAGGCGAGCGCGCTACCGCTTGAGCCACATCCCCAGCCCCAAGGGAATGCAATTTCTGGTGAGCCATCAAGATGTCCTAGGCAGGGCTGCCCTCCTTCTGCTTCTACCAAGCTCAGCCCAGGGGAGAGGAACACACGGAAGACCTAGGTGGCAGGGCTCCGAGGGACCACCTGGTGCCACTGCTTTGTTTTACCATTTGGAATCATAAGGGCCCGAGAAGTGAGGATGCCGCTGAATGTCACCCAGCACGAGTCAGAGATGAGGATGGAGGGAGCTGAGCATGAACGTCCTTGCCAGAGGCCATTAGGGAGGTTCTGATGAAGCTGAGGGTATAAATGTTTGACTGTGGACTTGGAGGTAAAGAATGCTGAGTCCCAGGGAATGAAGGAATCATTAGTAGAGACAGAAGCTGAAGAATCAGCGTCAACAAATCTCCCAGTGGCTCCCAGGGACCCCAGTTAAGGCTTCTTTCTTCTCTTCATTTTCTTGAAAATAAATTAAAACTCTTTCAGTTTGTTCTGCCACATTCTGTCTCATCTAATTTCCCGGCCAACCCATGGGTCTCACTTTTTAAGCAGGGAACATGAAATGGGTGTCTTTGAGTTTTGGATGAATCATGGTTTGGGCCCCTGCTGACATCTATTTCTTGGAGAAAGCTGGGTAGGGGCCCACCTGGGTCCTTGCTCTTCCTTCATCTCCCTTCATGGAGAGTCATGGCCCTAACTCTGCCCCGGTCTGACCTTTGCATGATTTCTGACTGCATGCCCAAATCCTGGACTCAGAATGTGAGCTCCAGGGAGAGCCAAAGCCCACTGGCCTCACCGGGCTTCTCCTGCTTTTCAATGGACCAAGACCTGTCTCCTGGGCTGATTTCCTGTCAGGGTCTTTCAGCGTTGTTCCACGTGCCTCTAGTTGAATTGCCAAGTTGCATGTTTAAGAAGCTCTGAGGTCCACTGGGCCTGTGTCTAGAACCTAGGGCGTAGAACACGAAGAGGCCCAGAATAAATCCTCAGTGCATTCTGCGGGATGGGCGAGGTAGGTGGGGGACTGGCAGTGTGTAGAAAGGTAGGCAGACGTGTGTCCACCGACGGAGACAGCCTATCGTGAACAGAGGAGGAGACGTTGAGATTGGTGGGTGTGTGGATAGTGAGTGGGTGGTGGGTGGATGGAGGAGGTCAGTGTAGGAAGGATGGATGTGTGTGTTGATGTGTGTCCCTCAGGGGACAACACATCACGAGGTTGGTCAGAGGAGTAGGAAGAGGTGAGGAAAGCATGGCTATCTGGGTGCGTGAATGCAAAGATTGTGGGTGGATGGAAGAATGGGTGAAGTGGGTTGGACTGGATCTAGGGTTAGTGATCAGGTGGGTAGGTCTGTTGATGGAAGTTGTTTGATTGGATGGTGGGATAGACAGAGGGAAGATCAGGTAGTGGGATAAGTATGTTGATGTACATGAAGGAATGTGTGTGTGTGTGTGTGTGTGTGTGTGTGTGTGTGTGTGCTCACACGAGAAAGAAGAGAGAGGTAAATAATAAGCAGATGGATTAAAGGTTGGACATAAAATAGACAATTAGGTTGGTAAAAGTCAGATGAGAAGGAAGGGTAAGAGGATGGATATGGGGTGAAGAGATGGTGGGCAAAGGAATACGTGGAAAGGAACGTCAACAGAGGGATGGTAAGTGGGGAGGGGTACCTGGGTGCACGGTGAGAGGATGGGCAGGTGGATAAAAGGACTGATGGTTGGCAGGCAGATGGGTGGGTGGAAATGTGATCATGGGTGGAAACATTAACCAAATCTTATGATATGAAAATAATTATGTAGGAAAATATGAGACTCAAATTCACAGATGAGGAGGTAGAGAACCTGCACAAATTGTAAGATGAAGTATTTAAAAATTGCTAAAATAGAGCACTGTGGCAGAAACATGGTCTAGATGCTTGGGAGTGGAGTACTGCCTTCAGTCTTCAAAGAATGGAGAACTTATGTATCATCAAAAAATTTCAGATTTCAGAAAAAGTATGTAAGTTTTCTAACCAAGTTTCTATTCTTATTTTGTTTTTCAGCAACTATAATCTTTAATAAACATCATAGGTCAAGTTGCAAAACTTTTTATTGGTGCATTCTAATTACGTGTAATGGTGGTGCTCATTGTGACGTTCATACATGCACATAACAGAATTTCATTTTCTAGTACCTCCCCTTTCCCCACCTCCCGATCCCCTTCCTCTAACTCGACTGATTTCCCTTCTATTTTTAAAAACTGGTGCATAGTAACTATGCAGAACAGGGGGGTCATCGTGATGTATTTGCACATGCACATACGTAGTTTGGTCCTCTTGATGCTCCATGTCCTCTCCGTTCTCTTTGCTCCCTTCCCTTCCTTTATTCTGCTGTTTTTGTGAGATCCTTTTTTATTTTTAATTCTTTTCTTCTCTCTAGCTTCTGCATGTTAGAAAAAATATTCAACCCTTGACTTTTTGAGTCTGGCTTTTTTCACTTATCAAGACGTCCCCCAGGTCCATCCATTTGCCAGCAAATGACACCATCTTATTCTTTGTGGCTCTATGAAACTCCATTGTGTATCCATACCACATTTTCTCAATCCATTCATCTGTTGACGTTCCGTAACTTGGCTCTTGTGAATTTTGCTGCTGTAAACTTTGGTGTGCAGGAATGGCTATATAGGATTCTGATGTTAGTTCTTTTGGATAAATACTAAGGAGTGGGATTGCTGAGTCATGGGGTGTTTCTACTTCTAGTCTTTTTTTTTTTTTTTAAAGAGAGAGAGAGAGAGAGAGAATTTTAATATTTACCTTTTAGTTTTCGGCGGACACAACATCTTTGTTTGTACGTGGTGCTGAGGATCGAACCCGGGCCGCATGCATGCCAGGCGAGCGTGCTACCGCTTGAGCCACATCCCCAGCCCTCTACTCCTAGTCTTTTGAGGAATCTCCATACTGATATCCACAGTGATTGTACTAATTTGCAGTCCTACCAAAAATGTCTAAGTATACCTTGCATCCTCACTGGTATTTGTATTTGTTACCATTCTAATTAGGATGAGAAGAAACCTCAGGGTAGTTTGGATTTGCATTTTTTTCTGCTCACTTGATATATTATTTGGCAATCTGTATTTCTTCTTTTAAGAAATGTCTGTGTAGTACATTTGCCCATGCATTGATTGGGCTATTTGTTTTTTGGTGTTGAGTTTTTTATGTTCTTTATGTATTCTAGCTATTAATCTTCTGCCCAAAGACTAGCTGTCCAAGATTTCCTCCCATTCTGTAGGCTTTTTATTCTTATTCTGAATTGTTTCCTGTGCTGTGCAGAAGCTTTTTCATTTGATGCCATCCCACTTAATGATTCTTGTTTTTTTTTTTATTGAGCTTTAGGAGTCTTATTAAGAGAAGTTGATCCCTACACCTATATGTTGGTGTCTGGATTCTACATTTTCTTCTAGTTGCGAAGTTTCTAGCCTAATTCCTAGATCTTCGATCCACTTCGAGTTGAATTTTGCCCATGCAAGTTTTTTGAAAGTACCGTGACCAGAACAGCAACAAACAAACAAACATTTACTTTAATTTGACTCTAGAAGTGAAAATTTTAAACAAACTCTTTGCCAAAAAAGCCACAGTAAATGAATGTAAATATACTAGCAATATGATTAAAGTCATTCTAAGAATGCAAGATGGTTCAACATATGACAATTTAATAAGTTGTTATGCCAACAAATTAGAAGAGAACAGTCATTATATGAGCAGATGCTTGAAAGGTATTTGATAAAATTCAGCAGTCATTTCTAGTAGCAGCTGAAAATGGAGAAGAAAAAACCTTAAAAAAGGAAATAAGTGCCATAAAAAACTATTTATCTTTCACACACACACACACCCCACCACCACCACCACCACCAGTAGCCACTGACTTTAAAATAAGGAACTAGACACTATTGATTTATTTTTATTTTTTTGGTGGTGGAATTGATGGCAGGACCTTGGGCATGCTAACTACATGCTCTGCTATGGAGCTGTACCTCAGGCCCTCACTGCCTTCATTTTCAAGATTATTTTAGAAGTTCTACTCAATAGAAGACAAGATAACAAAGCCATGAAGTTGGAGAAAAGAAGAGCCAAGTTTATCATTATTTTACGATGATATGATTGTATATAAATTTATTATATATAAAAACCCTACATGGTAGGATACATAGAATAACCCTATAAATACTGTTACCCTTAATAACAATCTGGTAAGGTAGTTAGCCCAAGACCAACAAAAGAGCTCTTCATTACGCTTATTCATAATTACTCTTCCCATGAGAATATTTTCCACTTACTGTTCATTTCCAGGGTGCCAAGCACATCAGTCCACAGCGTGAACAGCACTTCTCCCCCTCTGGGCAATCGCTATCCTGAAGGCACATTGGTTTACTAATCTTTTTACACATCTGAGGCATACGTGGGCAAAAACCTGGTTTGACTTTATGGAGTAAAAACAAGACACTTGACCTTGAAACACTCCATCATAATCAGACACACATTTGGGGAATCTTAGGAAACCCATAAAGGATTTTGTTCTAATCAAGCCTCTTCCCTTCCCATCACTGAGTGGGGGAGGCACTGTCTATGGCTAGTAACTTGAAGAGCATCATCCCAGACTTGTCCGACCTGATAAGATTCCTGTATTCCCTATGGAATTAATGGGTTTGGGTGGACCCAGAACATCCTTGTCTTATAAATTATAGGAATTGAGGATCATATAGGGGGAAGTGAGTTGGCCAAGTCGCACAGATAGCCTCTGAAAAAGTTGAAGTCAGTTGAAAAAGCTTTGCCTCTTGCAACCTCACCGCGGGTATCTCCAGGCACTACCAATCCCTGGGTCTACTTGGGGAAATTGGTACCTCCAGCCTCAGGAGTGGGAGAGTTGGCTTCTACCCCCAAAGCATTCTCTAACAGTCTTTCCCCAGATCCTCTTATAGAATGTGAATTATCAGGAATATACTTAGTGGTTAAGAATCTGTATGTATGTGAATCCACGGACATTGTCACTTTGCAAGTCACGGAAGAATGAGATCCTAACAAATAAAATTTCTTGGGGAAGAATGGAGAGTGATTACCAAGTGTGGTAATGACTTCAAAGAATAGCACAACAGTGTCCAGAGGCCAGGAGGTCAACATGAGAGCACTGGTTGGACATTGAAAGGTGAAATCTCCTCAGATACCTCCAAGGTCAATCCAAGGGGCAGCGGAGGCTCAAGAGACTCCCATTTCATGGGATATCATGGCATCCTCGATCCATGCCCAGTGGACTTTGGGAGGTATATCTTCCCAAAGTCCTACCCTCTCTGGTCCTTACCTTGCCAGAGGTTGGCACAAACAAAACCACACCTGGAGTCACAGCATTTTTCTGTCATCAGGCAATCCATGTCATTCTTACATGGCTTTGGACACTCCATTCGAGAGGTGTAAGGGAAGAGTGGGCACTGTCCTTTCTTGACTAAAACAAGAGCAGACGTGAGTACCTGCAGACCCCACCATCCCACCACCCTTCAAACAGATTTTCTTTCTCTTCAAAACTAGAATCCCTGCAGCTTGGTTCACTTTACCCTGTCCGCTCTCTCCCTGCCTTCTGGAATGTGGTAGAAAGAATGCTGAGCTCAGCATCTGAAGCCCCAACATGAAGTCTCAGTCCGGTCACTAAATAAGTGACAGCATCCTTCTGTATAAAATAGGGCTGATGATGTCCAGTTCACTCAGATCAAGTTAAGCCCTTGGAAGGGGCCTGGTTTTACTTTGAGTGAAATGGGAAGCTATTGTAGTGTTCTCAATAGAGGATGTCATGGTGGCTCATGTTTTGAAAGGACTGTCGTGGCCAATGTGCTGATAGTGATGATAAAAAGAAGGTGAATGTCAAGTGGAGAGACCCTGGGGCAGACTGTTGCAGCACTGAGAAGGTGACACCTTGTTAGCGGGGCAGCAGCTCTCAGATCTGGGCTGGAGATAGGACTTTGAAGTCATTAGGACCTAGATGGTATTTAAATCAATTCTTCAGGATTTGATGTGGGTCTCCTGGTCTCATCTGGTTGCCAAGTCTATGAGGGTAGATTTTTTTTTTTTTCCTTCTGTCTCTGGTCAGACCGACAATAGTGCGTTCAACTCTTAGAGGTACAAGTTACCTCTGAGCACGGACCTAAGTTTCCCACAAACCAGCCCAAACCCATTTCCATGGCCTCTTCTTGCTGCTCTGGGGAGAAAAGACCCAGCCCTTGTCCATAGACCCTGATTCCTCAGATCCTCCCACTCAGGGAATGTTCGATTCTAATTCCATCCAGACAGATCCCAAGATGGCCTTGGCCATTCAGGCACATGGGGTGTGGGGGATTGAAACCACTCTACTCCTGACTGATGATGGGTTCTTAGCTAGCTACCTCTCTGTGTTGGTGATGATGGTATGAGGTTGAAATTCTGTGGTGCTGCCTTGTAAATCACACAGTGTCACATCCTGATGAATGGTCACCATCTCTCTCAATTGGTACCATTTAGTGGGCCCAGGCCACTGGACAAGCTGCCATGTCAAGGTTTGGTGTCTTTGAACACATGTCATCCTGCCAAAAATTTGGTGAGGTGTTGGCTACTGTAACAATATTATAGAAGAGAAAACGGAAGCTCCCACAGGCCCAAACACCTGCACTAAGTGGGAAAAGCAGGGTTTTAGTCCAGGTCATGAGTTCAGTAGGACTCTGTCCCCCAGCATTACCAATGATGATCACTCCACTAGAGAAGGAACCCACAGCTCTTCCCTTCACCGCACCCTATTCTCTACCTTCAGTGTCTACACTGACTCCCTGGGACTCCAGGCTGGCCTGTCTATGCCTCCTTCTTGGGTGAGTCCTCCAGGTGAGGCTCAATAGGTTGACGTGGCGAAAAAAATATCTTTCTCCAAGAAAGTAGGCCTGGATCCCATGAGGCAAAATTTGGGAGCCCTTTATGGGTACTGTGTCGTTTTGAGGTACAACTCCGTTCGATGAACGCTATCACCATCCCCATTTTGTACACAAGAAAATAGGTTCCGCAAGGCAGGCACTTGGCCCAAGAGCTCCCAGCCGGTAAGTGACGGAGCTATGGCTTGAACCCAGGTAGTTCCACCTCCAACTCTGGGCTCTAACCATGCGGGTATTCTGTTTCTGGGCAAACCAAGCCCTCCCCTGGCAGGGATGTGGGTCTCACCAATTAACATGCAGGCCTTCTTGCAGTCATCCAGCCTGAGGAAGTTGTTGGCGTTCCCTTGGCAGCCATGATAGATAAAGGTTCTACACTCCTGTTTTTTAAAGTCATAATACCAACGCTGCAGTCTCATCCTGCAGTCTCCTTCTTTAAAGGGTAGCATGCAGGGTTCTGAGGTCAGGGTGTAAAAAGGGAAGAGCATAAAAGGTAGAGGTAAAAAGAAGGGATAGGATCCCCCCGACTGTCCTAGCTGATGGTGTTATCATCCAAGTCAGAAAAAGCCACACTCCAAAAAAGTAGGTTCTGGCCCTGGCTCCACGACTAGTATTGTCCACTGAATTCTCCTAACATCACTTCTTTCTCGCAGAGGTGATTTTGAAGGGCATCTGAAGATACTTTGGAGTTGATCTTCTCCACTGCTTTGAGCTTTGAGAGGCCAGGACCTGTTCAGGAACTGTATCCAAAGTGCCTAACAAAGCAGCTGGCACATAGGAAGGAAAAAATAGTCCCTGATGTCTGAAAACCCATCAGCTAAGCTGTTGTGTTCCCCTGTTGACATAAAACGTCTCATGGGACATCTGCATCAAATGAAGTCGCTCTAAGACCATGACAACGTGAGACAGAAAGCAAGATATCTGTGAAATTCATAAAACACCAAACACTTGCCTGTTCCACCCAACGTCAGTGACTTCAGCTCCCTCACTCTGCCTGCTCCCTCTGTGGATGAGACTCCCCGAGGAGCCGAGCCGCAGCTTTGCCCCCACTTCCTGACAGTACAGATTCTAAAGCCCTCCCCCAAATCATCCAAAGACCAAATCCTGTAATACACCCTAGCAGTTGCTTCCCGAGATGTCACATGGTTATCCACAGTGGACATTCTCCCTCCCTGTAATCAGTAATGAACCCAACTTGTTCGGCTCCAGGTATGTTCCTGGTAGTCTTGGCCAAAGGGCACCGACCATGAATACCAGTTGGATAAATGAATGAACGAACAAATGAATCTCTGTCAAATGTACACACTCTTATAAGATGTGCATGGGAATACTCACGGGTTCCCAGAAAATCTCCTTGAAAAGACCAAGAGTCTGAAAGGAACCCAGCACCTAAGTTAACTGAGATTTGATTTTGTCACAGGGCCAACCACAGTTTCTCAGCACACAGTGAGCACACCAGAGTATTAATTGTTCATGAAAGAGTGAATGTGGGACCCAAGAAGGCAAGCATCAGTATTGTCTAGTTGATGGCCACCATGCCTGGACTCATGACTTACACTTAAGGGTGAGAGTTAAATTGGACAGTGAGAAAAATGCAAACTTGGGACTCTTTGTCCTGCTATCAGAAGGAATTGTTCAGCCATTTCTGGATGGAGTAAGAAGTGGGGATCCTCAAAAGTCACCTCCGCCCCCAGCCTGAGTGCCACTACCTTCATATGGATCCATGCACTTCCTCCCACAGGCAAAAGTGCAGCACTTCATGTAATCTGGGCAGTTGAAATCCGATTTGCATAAATCCGGCCTCATGACGTCACAGAAGAGCCGCTCTCTGGGGCACTCTCCAGGTTTCACTGCAAGAAAGAATTGTCCAAATTCACATCCCAGGAGTTTAAGCTCTTCTCCTCCAGGGCAACGGTGAATGGTGGAAATGTCCCAGTCCTATCCTGTGCCTTCGATTCCCAGCTCTCATTCTGCTTACATTTGGGATCCATGGCTGCCTCTCCCACCACTTTTGGTCCATTTAGAAGGAGGTGAATCCGGAATTTGTGCCCAGGTAGAACTGAAGGAAAAACGTCTTAGATCCCAAAGGCAGGTGCTTCAGTAAGGACAAAGGCCCTTGCTCTAAATTAAGGAGCTCCCAATCTTCTTGAACCCTAATATTTTAAGGCTTAACTCCTCTGTCTCCAACATCTGAGGCAATCGAAGAAATTAGTAAAGAATCATGGAAACATCATGGAAATAGGAGTCTGGAGTCCTGACTTTGGTCCCTTGACTTCTGTGAACTCAAGACCAATCTAAGTTCAACGGCGTGAATTCTGACTTACCTCTAAGACAGGAAGAAATGGTGGAGTGGGAGGAGCATCATTGGCAGACTGATTGCAACACTAACTAGCTAAATAATCTTGGGACAGTCTCTTCCTTTGTCTGAGTCATCCATGTCCCATCTCTAAAATGAGAATGGCAACCCTTACTGTACAGGTCAGTTAGAATTAAATGGGATGATGTTCATAGTACACGGATCACAGGGCCTGCTAAGAGTTCTGCAGATACATGGCTGCTTACTCCGTTTTTAGGGATAAGTATGGATGCTGATTTAAGTGCTTGCAAAAGACAGGTTTCCAACATTGCACCCCCAAGATTCCAGTCCTCTGAATCAAACAGGAATGCAGGCACTGCCGTGAAAGGATCCTGCATGTGTAGTGAAGTTCAAAGTCAGTTGACCTTAAGAGACAGAGATTATCCAAGTGGGTCAGACCCAGTCAGTTGGGTCCTTTAAAAGAAGAAGGTTGGGAGTGAAGAGGTTGCAGAGATTGAGACTGTGAGGAGGAGCTGTCCTACTATCGCTAGCTGTGAACATAATGGAGGTCAAGTGCCGATAAATGAAGGTGGCCTTTCGAAGTCGACAACCAGTCAGGAAATCGGAGCTTCCATCCTAAAACGGCAAGAGAAGGGCTATGCTAACAACCGGTGCACTTAGGGAGAGGACCCTGAGTCCCGCTGAGAACGGCGGCCCTGTCTGACACTTTGGTCTCAGCCTGACGAGAATCAGAGCAGAAAACCCAGGCGCACCAGGCCAGACTGATGAGCTCCAGTGGGCTCTGCAGCAGCAGGCACTAATACAGGCCAGAGATGGAGCATGTCTCCAGTGGAACCTAATCAGAGACCTATGATCTTTTTAGATAGGACTGGGTCTTGTAATCATAGAAGTTTAGAATTCAAAGGACCATATTTATCTTTAATACCACCCTCCTAATTTCATAGGCTTAAAAGAAAATGAGGTCAAAAAGGATGCTACAGTGACTCAGTGACAGGCCCAGGATTCTCAGCCCAGAACTCGCCTCAGAAGCCCCACATCTTCCCCAAGGATGGGCCACTGAGACTTTTAGCCTTCTTCAGCTAGTCTTACTCATCACATCTCTCTAAATGCACCCTCCAAGGATGGCCCAAAGCTAAGAAGAGTACATGGTTCCTGATCTGGAGTGGACATCAAAACTCTCTGTGTATCTTTAAGTAAATAAGGACTCTGGACTGAAATCAGAATCTCTAGTAAGTAAGGCCTACTGACCCTAATTTTTCCCCCTTTTTTTAAAAAAGAATTATTTCATCTAATTTATCATATATGACAGCAGAATGCATTTCAATTCATACTACACACATAGAGCATGATTTTTCATGTCTCTAGCTGTACACAAAGTACAGTCACACCATTCGTATCTCATACTTGTGCTTGGGTAATGATGTCCATCTCATTCCACTGTCTTTCCTACCCCTCTGTGCCCTCCCTTCCCCTTCATCCCCTTTGCCCTACCTAAAGTTCCTCTATTCCTCCCATGACACCCCCATCCCCATTATGGATCAGCATCCTAATATCAAAGAAAATATTTGGCATTTGTTTTTTTGGGATTGGCTTACTTCACTTAGCACAATATTCTCTAACTCCATCCATTTACCTGCAAATGTCATGATTTTATTCTCTTTTAATGCTGAGTAATATTCCATTGTATATATGTACCACAGTTTCTTTATCCATTCATCTACTGAAGGGCATCTAGGTTGATTCCACAATTTAGCTATTTTTTAAAAGTTTTTGAAATTTGTTTTAATTAGTTATACATGACAGTAGGATGCATTTATGCCGTTTGATATATCATACAAAGATGGGATATAATTTCTCATTTTTCTGAGTGTCCATGTTGCAGAATCACATTGATCATGCAGTCACATACAGCAATAATGTCTGCTTCATTCTACTGTCTTTCCTATCCCCACATTCCCTCCCTTCCCCTCCCAATCACTTCCCTCTACCTAATCTAAGGTAATACTATTCTTCCCTAGTGCCCCCCGCCTTATTGTGAATTAGCACCCATATATTGGAGAAAACATTTATCGGCCTTTGGTTTTATGAGATTGGCTTATTTCGCTTAGCATGTTTTCTCCAACTCCAAGCATTTACTGGCAAATGCCATATTTCACTCTTCTTTAAAGCTGAGTAATATTCCATTGAGTATACATACCACATTTTCTTTATCCATTCATCTATTGAGGGACACCTAGGTTGGTTCACAGTTTAGCTATTGTGAATTGAACTGCTATATATACATTGATGTGGCTGCGTCCCTGTAGTATGCTGTTTTTAAGTCCTTTGGCTATAAACCGAGGAGTGGAACAGCCGCTGACCCCAATTTTTAGAAAGCCTCCTGGGTAATCCTAAGGCAGGTTGGTAGGCACCATGGGATAAGCTACCACTTGGGGACCATTGCTCAAGATTTGGGCACAGAAAGAGTTTGGCAAATTAAATATGGAGACCTCAAAAGGGTAAAGAGAAGTAGGAAGGGAAACCTTGGGATTAGGAGGTAAAGCCAATCATCTCACTAGAGTTGATTCTCCGGCTTCCAGCAGCCATTTTAACCTTTGCTTGGGTTTTGGACATTGGGCTCCTCTCCTGATTATCAGCTTGAGTTCTTTACCTAGAATAGAACCCCCTCCCTCCCTGGCCAGCTCTTCTTAGTCACCTACTGCCCCGACACACGATTAAATCAGTCAGGGTCACTCCAGGAGAACTGGGCTGGCACGGAATAACCACACAAAGACAGAGAAATACCTTTTTCTTTGGTTTCTGGGACGCGGGCCCCTCTGACCCAGCTCCCACAAAGGAGGCAAGGCAGGCCTTGAACCTGGCTTTCATTGGGGAGGCTGTTTGAAAGAACATTCATCCTGAAAAAGGGCCAAATGTGTAGGATTACCAAGGAACAAGGGGCAGCCCCCTCCAATCAGGTAACGTTCAATCCCAGAGCTATACCTTGCTTTCAGAGCGGAGGCAAGTCCCCTTGCCCTGCAGGGTGCAATGCCAGTCCAGTCCCTCTTCATTCAGGACTTAACTGTGTGTGCATGGCTCCTGCTCAGGGTGGTCCCCATAACTCACCCTGGGTGCATACCCCCTGGTACACTCCCCTGGAGTTCTGCATTTGCCAGAGATGTTCCCCAGAGTCCTGCTCTCATGACATTCCTGGGTGATCACATCCATTCTCACAATCCTGACTGATTCCCAGATCCATCCTGTTCCTTTTATTCAACTGCCTGGGAACAATTATTCAGGCAGACTCATGGGTAACTCTGTTCTAACATGTTTAAGAACTACCGTGTCCCCATGCCTAAGCTGCGCCTCCCTGCCCCTGTTCCCCATCTTGGTATTTGACATCAACAGTTGTTGTTAGAATCTAGACATTCTTTCCTCCCCCGTCACCCCAGCATCCTGTCCATCATGGCTTCTGGCCAATTTTGTCTCCAATCTCCTTAAAATCGACCTTTTCTCCTTCTTTACCGCACTCCCTTGACTCAGCCCCTGCCTTCACGCTCTCGTCCCCAAGACTGCAGCCGTGTCCTCACTGATCCTCTCCTCTCAGGCTCCTGCACAGTGACTCATACATTTAAAAAAAGACCCTGGAAGACATATTTTGGGAAAAGTTAGGGAAATAACTTGGGGAGAACAGGCAGGGGAGGATTTGGGGAGCTTAGAGTGGAATCCACAGTAGGGTGACCTCAGGCGACACTAGCTTTGCACCCCAACCTCGGCCTCCAAGCATGCCTCTCACAGGAAAACGGCGGCAGCTGTTCTGAACCCACCTTTGATCTTGTTGGACTGCGATGCAGAAGTCTGCTCCAAAGAGAGAGGGAGAAGCAGCAGGAGAGCTACATTCCTCCAAGAGAAGGCGGGGCTGTGGAGAGAAGGGCAGATGTGTGAGAGAAGAGGGATCCGTGTGAGGCATGATCCAGAGGAGGCACAAAGTGTGCAGAGGAGCCTTCCCGGGGATCCCCCAGAACCCCTTAGTTCTCACATAAGAAAAAGGAGCCCGTTGGGACGGGGCAGGCCTAGACATTCATCCCAGAACTCTCCCCGGGTGTCTCATAGTCTGCCACGGTGCTGCGCCTTGTCCTACCCAGACCCCTGTCCACCCTGTTTCTCCTGGGTGAGAGGCCACCGCTGGGTGATTAAAGGATGTGTTTGGAACAGTTGTGGCGTTGATGTGCACACAGTCATTCCTTGGGCAACCCCTGACACTGGTGAGCACCTCTTCTTTGCTCCACTGATGACAGAAAATAGACAGCAAGAGATTTTCTGCAAGGCCTGAGCAGACCCTGCTGGGTCTTGGATCTCAGAAGTAAAAATGATCCCGGATGGCGGCAAGTTAGCAAAAAGATTCCTCTCATTCCTTCTGGGGCATTCCAAGGCTCAGCTCCTATGATACTCCTAGACAACCCGAGAAGTGGGTGATCTTCCCCTGCTCACCCAAACCCCCATTTTCCATATGTCTTTTCAAGATCTAAGTGTGTTTTTTATTTTAAGATGTGAAGAACTAACAGCATCTTACTGCAGTAACTCTTGGAGAGAACACATTTCAAAATCAGAGAGAGAGAGAGAGAGAGAGAGAGAGAGAGAGAGAGACTGATCTTTATGCCATTTATTCACGTGGGCCTCATTTATACATGGAATCAGGTCTTGAGGAAGCTATGCAGAGATCCTCCAGCATCCGGAAGCCACATTATGTGGTGACTAAGGTGAAGACATGTCACCGTATCCACATTTGCTCCCTCCTCCCCAGAATTCTAATGCTGTATCTTCCCCCAATTCTACAGCAGCTCCTGGATTCTTCATTAGTGGTGATTACAACCCCAATCCAGTGATCTTGCCTTGGGTCCTGGCTTGGTCACTTTAACTGCAGCATATCTTGGATCCTTAGTTTCCTCATATGGAAAATGGAAATCATACAACTAACCTGGAAACTTTGCTTTTACTGTGGGGATTAAGATGAGAAAGGATGAAGACTTAACTCAGCAATATAGGATGGTAGAAAAGTTGATGCCTGCACTTGGACCTGAGTTCATGTTCCAGATCCAGCCACTCCCACCCGTGGGGTCTGGCCTGTCACCAAGCCTCAGCTTTTCATAAAGGAAATAATAATAGCAAAAGCTGCCTCTTAGACATGAGGATTAATTGAACTATGGTAGGGAATCATGGTAACTGGCGTATGATCAGTGCTCGATATATGTTCAACAGGAAACAGATAACAAGGAAACAGTGATTGCCCCAATACTACCCACGGCGCTTTCAGCTTTGAAGTTCCCTAGTCAGAAACCGTGCCATCTCTTCAGTCCCCTGAGAGATCAGACAAGAGGCCCTGTGTGTCTTAAGTTCGCATGATCAAGTCGTACTTTTGGTTTGAAATTTAACCAGATATACCTATTCACTGAGTCTTGAGAATTAGCTGGTCAGATGAGCCCACAGCCTATTAGTAGAAGCAGGGCTCCTGGGGTGGATATGGAGGGGGGACACAGATGAACAGGACTTCCAAACAATTGAGGGTATTCGGTTATAATTTTTAGTGTGTGTGTGTGTGTGTGTGTATCAATGCTTATTACACATATAGAGCACAATTTTTCATATCTCTGGTTGTATACGAAGTAGAGTCACACCATTTGTGTTCTTCATACATGTACTTAGGGTAATGATGTCCATCTCATTCCACCATCTTTTTTACCCCCATGCCCCCTCCCTTCCCCTCCCACCCCTCTGCCCTATCTAGAGTTCATCTAATCCTCCCATGCTCCCTGTCCCTACCCCACTATGAATCAGCCTCCTTGTATCAGAGAAAACATTCGGCCTTTGGTTTTTTGGGATTGGCTACCTTCACTTAGCATTATATTCTCCAACTCCATCCACTTACCTGCAAATGCCAAGATTTTATTCCCTTTGAATCCTAAGAAATATTCTATTGTGTATGTAAACCACATTTTCTTTATCCATTCATCCACTGAAGGGCATCTAAGTTGGCTCCACAGTTTAGCTATTGTGAATTGTGCTGCAATAAACATTGATGTGGCTGTGTCTCTGTTGTACTGGGTCTTTTGTGGCAACTTAAGCAGTTTAGGATTGTTTTGTCTATTTCTGAAAAAAAGTGAATAATAATTTGCTAACAATTTGGATAACCTAGAAGAAATAGGTAAATTTCTAGAAACACATCAATACTGAATCATGAAGAAACAGAAAATCTGAATAGTCCTACAATGAGTAAGGAGATTAAATCAGTAAGACCAAGTCAAAGGAAATCCCAGAACCCATTAAAGAAAATTCCAGAACCCAAGGGCTCAAATGCTGAATTCTACTAAACACAGCAAAGGAGAACTGCAGACCAATCCCTCTCAAACTCTTCCAAGGAAGTTGACATGGAAGGAATATTTTCAAACTCATTTTATGAAGCCAGCATCACCTTGATACCAAAGCAAGGAGAAGACACTTCAAGAAAATAAAAAGCATTGTCCAATGCTCCTGATGAACATAGATACAAAAATCCTCAACAAAATATCAGGAAAGCAAATTCAGTGACACATTGAAAGAATTATCCACTGTTATTGTGAAAAAAAAAAGATTAAAAATAAAAAATTCTGGTAAGGATATAGAAAAAGGAGAGCTTTTATATACTGATGGTGGGAATGTAAATTAGTGCAGCCATTATGGAAATACTATGGAGATTCTTCAGAAAACAAATAGAACCACCAGGTGACCCAGCAATGCCACTGTGGGGTGTACATCCTCAGGAAATGAAGTCATTACATCAAAAAGAGACCTGCACACCCATGTTATGGCCACACTATTCTCAATAGCCAGGTTTTAGAATCAACCAAGATATTCTTTGATAGGTGAATGGATAAAAATACTGTCATGTATAATAATTAAAACAAACATATTATATATGCACAACCCAATATTATTCAGCCATACAAAGATGAATCATGTGACTTGTGACAACATGGGTAGAACTGGAGGACGGTATGTTAAGTGAAAGGACCTAATTGCAGAAAGACAAGTACCACAAGTTCTCATTCATTTGTAGAAGCTAAAAAAGTTGATCAAGTGAGTGAGGTGGTACATGCCTATAATCTCAGCCACTCAGGAGGCTGAGGCAAGAGGATCACAAGTTTGAGGCCAGGCTTCACAACTTGGTGAAATCTCATCTCAAAATAAAAAAAAAAAAAAAAGAAGAAGTGCTGAGGATGTAGCTCAGTGGTAGAGCATCCTTGGATTCGATCCCCAGCACAATCAATCAATCAATCAATCAGTAAAATAAAGTTGATCTCATTAAAGTTGAATGTAGACTAGATGTCACTAGAGGAAAGGAAGAGTATGGGGAGAGAAGATGGAGGGAGAGTGAATAATGGGATCAAAATACAGTTAGTAGCTTTAATGTTCTAGAGCACAGTAGGGCAACTAATATCTACAATTAATTAAATATTTCAAGATAACTAGAAAGGGGCTGGGAATGTGGCTCAAGCGGTAGCGCGCTCGCCTGGCATGCGTGTGGCCCGGGTTCGATCCTCAGCACCACATACCAACAAAGATGTTGTGTCCGCCGAAAACTAAAAAATAAATATTAAAAAATTCTCTCTCTTTCTCTCTCTCTCTCTCCCTTAAAAAAAAAAAAGATAACTAGAAAGGAAGACCTTGAAGTTTTTCAACACATAGAAATGATATTAGAGGAGATAATTACTCAACCTGATTTGATCATTATACATTGTATACACATATCAAATTATAATATTATAACCATAAATAAGTACAAATATCATGTCAGTTATAAAATAAAAATTAATTTTAAAATGTATCATTCACTACAAAAACTAATAAATTCAATATTAATAGAATGCAGAGGAAAACCATGTGATAATCTCAGTGGATGCAGAAAAAGCGTTTGATAAAATTCAGCATCTGTTTATGATCTCAATAGGTTAGTTAGAGAAGGAATTTACCTTAACCCAGTAGTCTACATAGCACAACGTCACAGCTAGGATCACACTCATCAGTGAACAGCTGGAAGCTTTTTTGTTAAGATTAGGAACAAGACAAGGATGCCTACTCTCACCTTTTTAAAAACATGCTATAGGAAGTGCTAGCCATGGAAATTAGTAGAAATAAATAAATAAATAAATATTATCCAAATAACAAAGGAAGAACTGAAATAATGTGTATGCTGATAACATGATTCTTCCATAGAAAACCCTAAAGACTCTCCCAAAAAAAGTTATTAGTACTCATAGATGGGGCTGGGGTTGTGGCTCAGAGGTAGAGGACTTGCCTAGCATGTGCGAGGCTCCGGGTTTGATCCTCAGCATCATATAAAAATAAATAAATAAAGATATTGTGTCCAATTACACCTAAAAAATAAATATTTCTTAAAAAAGAACTCGTAGATGAATTCAGTAAAACTACAGGATACAAAATCAACATGCACAGATCAGCAGTGTTTCTATACATTAACAATAAGCTATCTGAAAAAGGAATTAATAATCTCATTTACAGTGCCACAAAAACATATTGATGAGTAACTTTAAATAAAACAGTGAAAGATCTGTGTTCTGAAAACTATAAAACATTGACGTAGGACACTGAAGAACAGGAGTGAATGGAAAGATAGCCCACGTTCATGGGTTGAAGGATTAGACACTGTTAAAAACCCATACCATTCAGAACCTACCTTTTGGCCCAGACTTTCCAGATGGCAGAAGTTTCTCCTTGTAGTAAACTGAGAAGCATTTTGCACTTGAAAGGAGCTAGGAGAGCAGTGTGAATTTCCAGGTTACGACTTTTAGAAATTATGGGTAGAAGTTACGGGTGAGGCCCCACTAATACTCTGCTAAATTCTGCTACCACTCACTGCTCCCCCACTTGGAGAACGCCCAATCCCAGGTCCTGTTTTCGTGGTTGAGAGCTTGTTCACAACCTCTTCATCCCAGTGGCATAGTGTGATCTGCTGCATGGCCAGTCAACCAGGAATGTGCTTTGAGCCTGAACAGAAGACCTGGAGAAGGACAACTACTCCAAAGGTCTGGCTGATAAATCTTTCCCTAAACCCAGCCAGAGCATGTGCGTAGTAAGCTTCTCTAAAGAAATTTACCTTCTAAATAACTCCTGCACAGATAATAATAATAAATGCTAAGTTTGGAGCACTCCCTGTACAGATCTATAATGTGTTGCTAAAATATTTTAAATCTTCCTAATTTTTTTGTCCTTTTGACTTATCCATAATTGAGAATGTTGAGGGCTCTCAACATGACCACGGATTTCTTGAATTATGCCTATAATTGCTTCAGTGCTTACCATATATCCTGATTCTATTGATTTAGGTAAATACAAATGCATTCCCAGTGAATTAAATCTTTCATTATTATCTAGAGATCCCCCATCTCTCTCTTTCTCTCAAATTGATCTTTATCTTACAGTTTTTTATTACCTGATATTAATCTAACTATATTTTTCTTATTATTTGCATTTGCTTAGGCTTTCTTCCCATCTTTTTGCATTCAGCCATCTCAAGTACTTATCTTTTGTCTGTTAAATAACGTCAATCTACATTTTTAAAAAATGCTGTCTGGCAATTTTTGCCTATTAATTGACATTTATTATTGGTATTTATGACATAGGTGGATTCATTTCTACAATCTTGAGTTTTCTATGGTCTGTTCTTCTTACTCTTGAATTCTGTACTTGCAAATTCACCTACTTGCTAAAATTTGTCACTCAGAGTCACCCAACACGCACATTCCCACCTGAAGGTGAATCCTTGGTTCAATTCAAACTCTAAACTGGGGGCCCTTTTACAGTCTAGTTAGTGCTACACTTTTCACATTTTATGTTTTTTTATTGGTGATTTCACTGTTCAAAGTGGCCCCCAAGGGTGGTGCAGAAGTGCTAACTTGTGTTTCTAAGAGCAAGATGACTGTGATGTGCCTTACCAAGAAAACACATTTGTTAGATGACGTCATTCAGGCACAAGTGATAGTACCGCTGGTCATGATTCAATGTTTATGAAACAACATTTAAAAAACACAATTCTTTAAACAGAAGCATGTGCCAAGCATGGTGGTACACACCTGTGATCCCCAGGACCAGGGAGGCTGAGGCAGGAGAATCACAGGTTCTGGGCCAAACCTCAGTAATTTTGCAAGACCCTGTCGTAAAATAAAGAATAGAAAGGGCCAGGGGTGGGTAGCTCAGTGGAAGAACACCCAATCCTAGGCCCTGTTTTCATGGTTGAGCCTCAACCCCTGGTACCATAAAAACAAACCAACCAACAGAAGCACCCATAGAACAAGGTTGTGCATCAACCAGTTTATGAAAAGGTGACTGGAGGCTTAAAGGAGGCTAACCCTGGGATTTTCTCCCAGGAGCAATGGCTCAGTATTTGCTAATTTGGTGACTTTAGAGAACATAACTACCAGAAATAAGGAGCATCAACTGCACTTTTATTAGCTTTGCTTTTGTCTGGGGTACAAGTAGCTTTGAGCTCTCCAGGACTTGCCACAATATTTTTCTTGTTCAAGAAATCTCGGTTCCTGTCGTCGACTTCTCTGTTCCAGGAGGGGGCTGAAGGAGCAGCTCCTCCCTGGCTCCCGCACATGGCAGAGGGGAAGCAACAGTGGAGCTGGCAGAGACATACCTGGCTTACATCCTGGTTAAAGCCTTTTCATGCCCAGGTTACATCCATTTCATTGGCCAGAGCACAGATTACAGCCAAGTTCAAAGTCAAAGAGGCAGGGACGCCTATTCCTTTCACAAGAGATTCTGCAAATCACAAGGCAACGGGCAGAGACCTAATCTCCTTAAAGAAAGGATGGAATCCGCAACTATGATCAATGATATATCCCATCATTATGGCTCCCTTTTGAATTAAAAAATGATGTGTATGTTTATGTGTGTGTATATATATCATACATATTTTTTTTCTGAGAAAATATAAAGCTACCCTGTTTCAGACGACTGAACACTGGGACACTTGCCCTGCAGATGCCCAACGCACCTTACCTGGGCTCCGACAGCCACGTTGGGTTGCTCCTACACATTGGTACCTCTTCAGTCTGCTCCGTCTTGGGCAGACTGATTCTTGGGGAACCTCTCCTCATTGGCTGTGACTTCTCATGGCAGGCCACTCTAACCTCTGGATGTCCTCCTCAATCTCCTTGGGCTCTGACCCTTTATGTCTGTTGGCCCCAGGAATGGACACCCCTTGTCACCCTGCTCAAGTTGTTGTTGTTGTTTTAACCGTGTACAGGGTCTTGACCTCCCACATGGACTTCCTCCTTCACAACCAAGCCATAACAAGCCTCTGTCCACGGGAACGACTTCCTGACGTGGCTCCAGGCTTGGGTTCCTCCCTGGGCTGTTTCCCTGCATGAGCACCCCCCAGCCCACTGAGGTGGACGCCTTTCTTACCAAACTGTGCTGCTCCCCACCCCTCCACTGGGCAGTCTCCTACCTAACTAGGTGCCAGCAGCCTTCTACAGAGATGCCCTTCTCCTGTCGTGGCTCTGACGCCCACACTGGGTCACTGTGGCTTCTTTCCCCTTGGGGCAGATGCCTACCTTGATCTGTCCCACCTGATGGCTTCCGGACTGACTAGTTCTATTTGTGCAAATGAAAGAAAACAGGAAAAGATGCTTTTTCTTTTTGCAAAAGTATTATGAAAAAGATATAAAAATAAAATATGCATTAAACATTAGTGTTTGATCTAACAAACTACTGTGAAGTGACCACTCATTAACTGAGGTCAAGTAAAACAAGATCTGGAACATTAGAAGTCCCTTGCTTGTTCCTTCCCAGTCACAATCCTTCCCATCCTCCCGAGGAAGCTGATGATAACAAAGTCTTGCTCTTCTTTTCTATATTTTTAGAATTGAACTATGTATTTTTAAAATGTGCTTTTTTTAACGTCATATGCTTGTGTTTTATATAATAGGAGCCATTTGGAAAGTGTTCTTCTGGGCATAGCTTTTTGTGTTCAACGTTATGAATTCCATCCACACTGATCCATGTAGCTGTATGTCATTGATTTTTGTTGTTGGATCATCTGTTGTATGACTCTATGCAGTCTATCTATTTGACCTTCTGGATTGTTTCCAATTTGCAACTATTAAGAATAAGATGCTGTAGGGCTGGGGTTGGGGCTCAGGGGTTGGGGCTCAGGGGTAGCGCGCTCGCCTAGCGCATGCGAGGCCCTGGATTTGATTCTCAGCAACACATAAAAATAAATAAATAAATAAATAAATAAATAAATAAATAAATAAAGCAAAGGTATTGTCCAACTACAATTAAAAAAATAAAAATATTTTAAAAAGATGCTATGAATATTCTGCTTGTGTTCACAGGTGCACAGGGACAGGGATTCCCGTAGGTTATGTTCCTGGGATTGAAGTAGCTGGGTCACAGGGTGTGTGTCTCTTCAACTTCTTGAGCTGATGGCAAACTATTTCCTAAACAGTTTGAACCAATTCAGTACACTTTCTTGCACCTTTGACTTTTTTCTGGAATGATTTTTTCTTCTCCCTAAAGGACTTTCTTTAGAAGTCCCTTTGGTGAGGATTTGTGGGTGGTTAGCACTCCCATTTTTTGCTGTCTGAAATAACTTTTGTTTGTTCCTATTCTTAAAGAGAGACAGAGGGAGAGAGAGAGAGAAGGCTCACTCTGTATTCTGAGCCAAGTTAGCAGTTGTTTTCTAAGAGCCCAATATTCTGCAGTCTTCAGGGTTCCACTGCTGTTTTCTTGAGCAATCCTTTGTTAGTCAAATAGTTTCTTTGTTTTTGCTTCCACTGCAGTTACACTTTTTGTTTCTAGGTATTCTATCTGGCACTTTCTCAAACATTCTGGTTATTTTTATGTCCTCTTTCGCTCTAGCTATGCCGATAATGTTCTTTTTAAGTTTCTTTCTGTTCATTCTAGTGATACTGATCATCTTGATTTATAAAATATTTTATAATTGACAAAATTTATATATATGAATATATTTAGTGATTGCCCAATGTATACATGTATCAAAGTATTACATTGCGCACAGTATATACATAATATTTTGGTACATGCATATATTGTGAAATCACAAAATCAAGGTAATTGCCATATCCATCGCCCCACATACTTATTTTTTTGTGTTGGGAACACTAAAATCTACTCTCAGCACATTCGAAGTATTTCTATTTACTGATTTTGCATTTAGTCTCTGAGAACTGCTTGTGCAGATCTTTTTGATTGAAATGTTTGTCATTTTCTCTTCAATTTGTATATTAGGGAAAATGACTTTTGGTTTGTCATATGTATTGCAAATATTTCCCTCAGTCTTCCCTTTTTCTTGAATGTAACATTTTTTATTTGTTATTTTTAGTTATACATGGTGGTGGAGTGTGTTTTGACATATTATACACACGTGGAGTACAACTTCCATTCTTCTGGTTGTACGTGATGTGGAGTTGCGTTGGTCTTGTGTTCACATATGAACACAGGATAGCAATGTCCGATCCATTCTACCCTCTTTCCTATTCCTATTTCCCCTTCTTCCCTCCATTCCCCTTTGTCCAATCCAAAGTCCTTCTGTTCTTTCCCACCCTACCCCCTTATTGAGTGTTAGCATCTACGTATTAGAGAGGACATTTGGCCTTTGGTTTTTTGGCATTGGTTCTGTGAGAAGTGGGATAACTGGGTCAGAGGGTGGTTCCATTCCAAGTGTTCTGAGGAATCTCTATTCTGCGTCCCGGAGGGGTTGCACAAATTTGCAGTCCCACCAGCAATGTATGAGTGAGCATTTTCCCCACATCCTCATTAACATTTACTGTTACTTTTATTCTTGATCATTTCCATTCTGTCTGGAGTGAGATGAAATCTCAGTGTAGTTTTAATTTGCATTTCTCTAACTGCTAGAGATGTGGAACATTTTTTTTCATATATTTGTTGACCAGTCATAGTTCTTCTGTTCAGTGCCTTTGCCCATTTTTTGATTGGGACATTTTTTTCATGTTTTTAAAATTCTTTATATATCCTGGAGATTAATTCAGCCTTCCTTTATTTATTATGTATTGTTATGGTTTAGATATGAGGTATCTCCCAAAACTCATATGTGAGACAATGCAAGAAAGTTCAGAGGTGAAGTGATTGGGTTCCAAGAGCCTTAACCTAATCAGTGTATTATCAGCTTGAAGGATCAACTAGGTGGAGACTGTAGGTAGGTAGGGTGATGCTGGAAAGGGTAGATCACTGGGGTGTGCTGTGGGGGTCTATGTTTTGTCCCTGCTGAATGTGTCTATGAGGGAGCTGCTGGGAAAGACTGGACTCTGAGTCAGTTGACTGAGTACAGATCTGTTCTCACCCGTGAGAGCAGGCATCGTCAAGTCTATTGAAGGCCTGAACAGGTGGAGAAAGCTCTTACTTCTTGAGCTGGGACATCTGTCTTCTCCATTCTTTAAATATTGGAGTTTCTGGTTCTTAGGCCGTTAGTCTCCAGGACCTACCCCAGCGGCCCCTGGGTTCTCAGGACTTTGACCTTGGACTGAGAGTTGTACCCTCGGTTCTTGTGTTTCTCAGGCTGCAGACTGGATTACACCACCAGCTCTCCTGGTTCTCTGGGGCACAGTGGAATCATGGGCTTCTTGGCCCCCAATACATGAGCCAATTCCCATAATCAATGTCCTCGTCTATTTTTCTGTATATACTCTTGGTTCTGTTTCTCTGCAGAATTCCAACACAGGGATCTAATAAACACGTATAGAATGTGGCGCTTTGGGCAACAACAGCAGACAAAGCATTATTTTTAAATAACCATGGAACCAAAATAGATGGCATCCTGGATGGTGAAGTTAATCTCAAATTTAAAATAAGTAAAGTTATGTCATACAGAATGTATCTCTGATCACCACGGAATCAAACTAGAAATCAACAACAGAAATACAACAGGAAAATCTTCCAACATTTGGAAATCACACAACACACTTTTCAATAATTCATGGATCATGGACCAAATAGGAATTCTCAAGAGAAACAAAAATATTGAATGAAAATAAAAATATGGCTCAGGAGGTTGAGGAATGGGGATTACAAGTTCAAAGCCAGCCTCAGTAACTGAGCAAGGCCCTAAGCAACTTAGAGAAAACTTGTCTCAAAAAATAAAAAGGGCTGGGTATGTGGCTCAGTGGTTAAGTGCTCCTTGGTTCAATCTGGTTTTATATATATATGTGTGTGTGTGTGTATATATATATATATATATATATAAAATCAAAATAAAAAATTTGTGTAACAGTTTTGAAATATGCAGTATATTATAATTATCTAATTATAATCACCTTATCAACTTCTTTCTCTCTCTCTCTCTCCTTCTTTCTTTTGGTGGCAATAGAGATTGATCCCAAGGTTACTCTACCACTGAGCTACACCCCAAACCTTTTTTTTTTTTTTTTTTTTTACGATTTTTCTATTTTGAGACAGGGTCTCACTAAGTTGCCTGGGTTGACCTTGAACTTGTGATTCTCCTACCTCAGCCTCTCAAGTTGCTGGGACAACAGGTGTATACTACCATGCCCAGTTTCTCATGTTCGTTTGTTTTTAATATGAAGTATTTTATTCTTCTTTTATATATTTTGCGGTTTTACTTTTATTTTATTTGCTGAGACCCCCAGTATGACTCAGAATAGAAATGCTGGTAGCAAACATTGATATTGTTTCTTAATCTCAGCAGCAAAACTTTCAACTTTTCACCAAGTATGATGTTGTAATAGAGTAGTGTTGCTGTGTTTTAAGGTAGTTTTTATCAGGTAGAATTTTCTCCAATTCCTAATTGACTAAGAATTCTTCTTGTGAATAGATCTTGACTTAATCAAATGCTTTGTCTGTATCTAGTGGACTGATTATATGAGTTTTCTTTTTATTCTATTTACATGATTAATGATAAAAATATTGTGAAACCAAAACTCGTTGTGACTGGGGAGTCTCTTAAATGAAAGGTTTTATTTAGTTGTGACAGATGTTAACCAGAATAGGTTCAGGTCCAGGTGTTATATGTTTCCAGAACTATTAGTAGCAGGTCAAGTACTAATAGTTCCAAAGATGTCTGCTGGACCTAGAGCTAAGAGCACTTTTATAATGAAAATCAGGGTTAAAAAAAAAGCATAAGCTGTCTACATTGAGCCTACATTGGCCATAGAAAAGAAGGGTGGGATAACTCAGAGTTGGGAGAGTTTAGGGTTTAGAGAACAATCCATTAGGAGGAGTATTTGTGGCTTCTGGATTGATTGAGGTCATAGGCAGGATGTGATACCCAGGGGTTCATCCACCTGAATTTTGAGCCAAATTTTCAATATTTACTCAGGAATGTGGAACAGTCTTTTGTTGGTTTCAACCCACAGATGTTAGCTGATGACCTTATCTCACCTCCCTTCCATCTGCTGGAAGAAAACAGTTTCCCCAATATGTGATACCTTTTTTAATGTAATGAACACATTTCCTAATATTTTGCTTTGGACATTTGCATCTCTAGAACAGATAAAATGATCTCTGGTTTCCGTTTTTATAATGTCCTTTTAAGTTTGGGAGATCAAGTTTATGTTGGTCTCATAAAATAAGCTGAGAAGTAAGTACTCCCTTTTTTATTATTCTCTTAAAGATTTTGATTTAATTCTATTTCTTCCTTGAATGTTTGGTAGAATTCATTGATGGTGCATGTGAGCCTGAAGTTTTCTTTGAAAACTCTAGATTCAATTTACTTAATATACGTATAATTATTGACATTCTCTATTTCTTCTGAGAAATTTGATGTTCAATTTTCTAGGAATTTTCCCATTTCATCTAAATTTTTATTGCTATGAAATTATAATATTCTTTACCTTTATCGTATGATCTGTAGTTATGTTCACTTTTCCTTGGCTTATATTGACTATTTTTGCCTCTTTCTATGCTTGCTTAATCATCAGGGTATATCAACTTTATTAGTCTATTCCAAAATTGGGCACTTTGTGAACGTTTTATATTTTATGTTTATTTCTATTTATTATTTCTGTTCTAAACTAAATAATTTTATTCCCACTACTTTCTTATTTGTTATTCTTTTTCTTTGTCTTTTTTATTGTATTTATTTATTCGGTACCAGTCACTTAACCACTGAGCCACAGCCCCAGTGTTGTTTTGATGTCTTATTTTGAGACAGGGTCTCTCTAAGTTGCTTAGGGCCTTGCTAAATCGCTGGAGGCTGGCTTTGAATGTGTGATCCTCCTGCCTCAGCCTCCTGAGCTGCTGGGATTACAGGTGTGCTCCACTGCTCTAGCTTGTTATTTTTTAACCTAACTTCTCTCTCTCTCTCTCTCTCTCTCTCTCTCTCTCTCTTTTGGTATTGGCAATTGAACCCAGGGTGCTTAACCACTGAGTCACATCCCCAGCCCAGTTTTATGTTTTATTTGAGA